TTTGAGTCAGAAAATCATGATTTTTCTGAGGTGTTGGGAAAAGATATCAAAAGTCAAAAACAAGCGACCAAATCAGTGTGAAGGGGTGTGGATGTAATGGAGCTCATTGGACAGTCCCTCTCAGAAGGGCTACATGGAAGGGATGACAAATCCAGGATGCGATATAGCACTGATGAACCACATACTGTAACTATCTTCTAATTCTTTAATATATCCTCCCCTTACTATTAGGGTTTTTATTTGTTTTACCTCACTAATCTTGTTAGATTTGCAAATGTTCATTTCCATGTTTAAGATCCTTCAGTACATGAAAGCCAAGATAGATAACCCGTCAGGGTGCGATGTAACAACGATGAGAAATACAACTTTCCTCTAGTTCCTAAATGCTTCCTCCCCGTTCCCACTACCATGACTCGAATTCGACCTTGCAAGGCTGCCTAGACCAGAGGATGTACACTGGTACAGATAGGAACTGAAAACACAGGGAATCCAGGGCGGACGAGCCCTATAGGACCAGTGGTGTGAGTGGCGAAACAGGGAGGGTAGAGGGAGAATGGGTAGGAAAGAGGGAACCGATTACAAGGAACTGTGTGTGACCTCCTCCCTGGGGGACAGACAACCAAAAAGTGGGTGAAGGGAGACGTCGGACAGGGCAAGATATGACAAAATACCAATTTATAAACTACCAAGGGCTCATGAGGGAGGGAGGGGAAAAAATGAGGACCTAATGTGGGGGTTTAAGTGGAGAAAAAATGTTTTGAGAATGATGTACAAATGCGCTTTACACAATTGATGTGTGTATGGATTGCGATAACAGTTGTATGAGCCCGTAATAAAATGTTTTAAAAAAAAAAGATAGATAACCCTTCAGAAACAGTAACAGGCGTAATGTCTCACTGAGAGTATGGGAAGGGGTGGGGAGAAGGAGGGAACAGGGAGCTGATACCATTGATGGCTGTATAACCCTACTCGATGGGATTTAACAACAGAATTGTTTGTGAATGGATACATTGTATGTGTAAGATATGGACAAAAAAAGGGCTCCTGCGGGGTAGGGTGGGGGTGGTAGTGGATAAAGGGGAACTGATACCAAGGAGTTCAAGAAGAAAGAACCTGTTTTGAGACTGATTGTGGTAGTAATTGTACAACACTGCTTGAGGTGTTTGAACTATGGAATGTTATGATATCTGTAAGAGCTCCCAATAAAAGGATTGAAAAAAATTAAAATCATCGAAGGCAAAAAAAAAATCATGATTTTCAATGCCAGGAATAACATAATCAAGAGGAACAACACAATCAAGAGGAAGGTGTGGCATTCAGTATCAGTATAAGGCTGTCTGTGATAGGATTATATCTATTATATCTATTGTCCTTCATGGAAATCCAAATTCAAATTCCTGTATCAACCACAAAGCTGGAGATAAATAAATTGAAGGATTCTACCAACTTCAGTTGGAAATTGATCAAGCAAGATGCATGGATAATAATTGGCGCTTGAAATGCAAAAGTTGGAAACAAAGAGGAAGGAGTGGCTGTTGGACTTGCTGATAGAAATGAAGCTGGAGACTGCATGATAGAATTTTGCAAAACCAAGGACTTGTTCATAGCAAATACTTTTTTTCAACAACACAAAAGGTGACCAGACACATGATCTTCTCCAGATAGAAGACACAGAAATAAAATGGACTGCACCTGTGGGAAGACACGATGTAGAAGCTTGAGCTGCTTTTAGCAGCAGCTAAAACCAGACCAGGGGCCACCTGTGGGACAGACTGCTCATTCATAGCTCATATGTAAGCTCAGGATAAAGCTGAAGAAATGAAAACAAGTCCTGGAGTCTCACACCTGCGTTCAAGAACATCTCCGGAACAGATTTGATTCCATGGACACTAGTGAGAGAACACCTGATGATCTGTGGAAGGACATCAAGACCGTCCTCCATGAAAGCAGACAGGAACTAAAGAAAAGATCAGAGAGCCTCTGAAATTCACTCTTAATCATAGAGTAGCTAAAGCAAATGGAAGAAAGGATGAAGTCAAAGAGCTGAATAGAAAAACTCAAAGGGCAGCTCAAGAAGACAAAGCCAAATATGATCATGGAAAGTGCAGAGGCCTGGAGTTAGAAAACCTGAAGGGAAGAGCTCGGTCAGCCTGTCTGAAATGGAAGGAACTCAAGAAAAAATTCAGGTTCACATACAGGCATGTATATATGTAAATACATTTACGTATATATAATGATAGGGGAATAGATCGATGTACATATATTTACTTGTAAAGTATTACGGCAGCAGATGGACGTTGGGCCTCCACTCAAGTACTCTCTCAACGCAACAACATGACTTTGTTCTACTAACATGACACTCTGTTGTGGGAAACAGAAGGATTTCTCCCAAGTTGTCTCCCCCAAATATATGCCAAACTTAGAATGACTATACACTTGGAGGTCATCAGGAGTAGATCAGGGGTTATTCTCCCTAAGGGTTATGAGCCATGTAGAGTAGAGCAAGCAGTCACCACTGTTTATCCCACAAGTAGGGCCCACTCCCTTCTGATAAGG